CTGCTTTGTCAGTATTTTCCAAATTAGTCTTTAAAATAAATACATTGGCTTTCCCTTCATGTCTTTATATTATTGAACATAAGACATTTCTGAAAAAAAAAACATGTTAATTTTGTAGCAAATTTCAAGATCATCTTAGAAGTACATTTTAGTGAACTGCTTAAAATAAATTGAAAATATCAAATACAGTATTTTTTAAAGGTATCTCTGTATTGATATCTGTAACTATTACATCTAGTGAAGGAAAATAAGTGTTGTGGTTTTCCATATTCCAGTTATTAACTGAGTTCTCTCAGGACCTACTTTAAATCGGGTGAGTTAGTTGCACATCTCTGCCTCCTGCTTCTTGGTGAGCACGCTGGCTCCTTGCCCTTCTCAGTAGGGATAAGCAGCCCTTTCCAGATGTTTCACCATTTTTCCTGCTTCATGCCAAATACCCACGTCGGTACCATACATGTTTTCACTTTGGAAATTTTTATTAGAAATGAGGCACCATTAATGTTATGTACTCTTGCTACTTAATTCCTTAAAAATAAGATCCAAGAATGCTTATTTTTGAAGTAAATAAATACTTTAAACAGATTTTTATTATTGCAGTTGCTGTTACTCAAAATTCTTTTAGTATTTCATATAGATTAAAATGTTGACAACTGGTAAGTTTACTTTTGTAATCTACCTATTTACTCTGTATTTCTCTTTGGAAAATATTCTGGACAAATGTTGACATTTTTTTCTGAAATGTTTTCTAATGGTGTTTTATGATTAGTATAAGGGAGAATAAAGCTTTGATGATTGATAGCATTTGCCCTTAGCAAAATCTGTTTTGACTTTTAAATATAAAGGAGTTACTAATACAGGTAAGTATTGCACAAATTCACAGCTGTTAGCAAAGTAACCATCAGAGCTATGGAAGTTAAAATATAGAAGAGATTTCAATATGGTCTTGTTCTTTGCCTGCCATCTCATAAAAATTAGTTTTAGTAGACCTTCTGATATGATTTATTTTTGCTTGTTATTCTAAAATAGAGACTCAGCAGATTAAAGGATGATATTCATAGGGGAGGAATCCAAAGGCATAACTACTCTGAACATACAAAATACTATTTACTGCAACAAATTCCAGGAAATGGAAGCATGGGTGGTTGTTTGTTGTTTTCTTTTAATTGAGGTAGTGGTATTGGTGTTGTTTGTTTTTGTTTTGGGCTCTTTGTTTTGTTTTGTTTTTAGGGGGGACAAAGGGCACTACAAGAGAGGGAAGAAGAGTGAACAAATGCAATCATGGTATTCAGTATACACTATGTGGGAAATGAGCTATGCAATTTGTGGGCAGAGATAGGAGGGGGAAACTGGGGGAAAGTGACATTGTCCAAAAAAGAAATGTACTTATCTGACTTAGGAAATGGTAACCCCTCTTTACATCTTAATAATGATAACAATAAAATTATATTAACTTTTTTTTCTGGTCGATCATGGGGCTTGAACTCTGGGCCTGGGCACTGTCCCTGAGCTCTTTAGCTCAAGGCTAGTGCTCTACCACTTGAGCCACAGAGCCACTTCTGGTTTTCTGGTGGTTAATTGGAGGTAAGAGTCTCATGGATCTTCTTGCCTAGGCTGGCTTTGAACCACAATCCTCAGATCTTAGTCTTCTGAGTAGCTAGGATTACAGCCATAAACCACTGTTGCCCAGCTGTATTAAAATTTTTTCAACATAAAATAGTGACTCAGGCAGAAAAATAATGTAAAACACAGGAAAATAAGCCTGTGTGCATGAACTTAAATATTCCCTCTAATTACTGTTTTGTGTAGTTAAAGTCACACTGGAATAAGGGAGAAAGCCTGTTCTGTTATCAGAACAGAAACTGGAAGCACATTCTGAAGACACTCTTTCATCTTAGAAAACGCCTTCCTTTCTTCTTTCTCCTCCTCCTTTTCTCCTTCCCTTCATCTTTTTTCTCCATCTCTTTCCTTTGTCTTGCTTATAAAATCCTCTGCTGGCCTTAAACCTTTGATCTCTCTATCTCAGCTTCCAGAGTGCTAGGATTACCGGCTTATATCATGATGTTTGGCTCATTTTAGAGCAATTTAAAATGTATTTTCTACCATCCTTCATAGTTCTTTATACCAAGGCAAAGAAGAAATCTCATCACTTGAGAAACAAAACTTTTAACAAGTTTTCCAAAAAAGTAGAAAATAAAAGAGTATAAATTTTATTATTGACTTTTAGAACAATAATTCAAGTAACTTTTTTGAAGTTTTTCTTGAACCTATAAAAATTCATAGAAAGGTGGGCCTCAATGGCTCCCGCCTATAATTCTAGCTACTCAAGACTCTGAGATGTAAGGATTACAGTTCAAAGCCAGCCGAGGCAGATAACTCTGTGAGACTCTTAATTCCAATTCACCAGCAAAAGCTGGAAGTGGAGGTGTGGCTTAAGTGGTAGAACACCAGTTTCAAGTGCAAAGCCAAGCAAGAATGCAAGGTCCATGTCAGGCGCTGGTGGCTACTCAGGAGGCTGAGATTTGAGGATCATGGTTCAAAGCCAGCCCGGGCAGGAAAGTCTGGGAGACTCTTTACCTCCAATAAGCCATTCAGAAAACTGGAAGTGGCACTATGGCTCAAGTGGTAGAGTGCTAGCCTTGAGCTGAAGAGCTGAGGGACAGCGCCCAGGTCCAGAGTTCAAGTCCCACTACTGACAAAAAAAAAAAAAAGAATGCAAGGTCCTGAGTTTGTCAATACCAACACACACACACACACACACACACACAATTTAAGATTATATAAATACAAGCTCTACATATATTTTATATGTTTATTTTATCTAAATAATGATTAATTCTAATCAGTTTCTGGTTTCCTTTGTTTTAGGAAATAATTCTTTGAAATTATTAATTTGGCATGTAGTAAGAATTCAAAATAGATTGAATGTAGGGAAATTAAGCATAAGTTGGGTGGCATATTTGAAGATAAATTGAAATAACGACTTTATTATTTTAGATTATAATAAGATATATAGCAGCATTAACTTGTTGACTATTGGAGTTATCTTAAAACAAGATATATAATACATGACTACTGAAATACTTAGGATATTAAAGCATTTTTATTATAAGTTGCTATTGAATAGTTAGCAATGAGGAATATTTCATCAATATATTTAAGATCTAATAAGTTGATATTAGGTAGATAAGAAAATATACATAAATTTGTTATTTACTGGTTGCTTTTATATTTGTTTCTAAAATATTTATCCACTCAGATATTCTAGTTTATTTTCACAGTTTTTAATAGTAAGCTGTTTTTTTTTGGACCTTAATTTTATTTCCTTTTGGAGCTTTTATTTGACAACTCTAATAAAGAAAATTGGCATTTATCCCTCTTCTGATTCTTTGACTATGACAACATTTATCCACTTTCACATTGGTTTGCTGACATAGCCTTTTCATAGAATACAATTGAATAAAAATGAAATAGGAGATTGAGTTTGGCATAATTCCCTTTCTTATCATGTATATGCCATTAAATTTTGACAGTGATGATAAATGTTTCCACCTTCCAGATTTATTGAGTTCAGGGAAGACAGTAGAGACAAAAATGTACTGTACTTCTAAGATATATTATTTGTATTAAAATAACAATACAGAAAATGGTCTTTCATATTCCTAACTATCCCACCATACTCAGTATGTACCATAAGCAAGTAAGTATCTTAAAAGTTAATTTTATTATTTTGCAATTTTGATGTGCAGAATTCAGTTCTTCCATGTTATGCATGTCCTATGCTTTACAAAAGAATGGAGCTTTTGCTTTACCTTCTTAACTTCCATTGGTCTAAATTTTAATTTTTCTTATCTTTTAAACTATGAGAATAATGCTGATTTCACATATATTTTTGGTATTTTTGTAATGGTGCTTGAATGTCTACTAAATATTTTATATATTGCAAAATCTGAAAGTATTTGAATATTTTGTTTCAAGTAAACATATGTTGGTATTTTGAATTTCAAAATTATTTTTACTTAATCTGTGATTGACATATCATTTTTGTACTTTAGCTATTTTACTTACCCCTCTCAAGTTTTTGTAAGTTACTTTTAAAATTCTCAGAACTGGGCTGGAACTATGGCTTAAGTAGCAGCGCAGTGAAAAGGCCTGAGCAAGTCCCAATACTATCAAAATACTTATAATCTACTCATCTCTGTACCCTTCTATAATAATTTTAGAACTGTCTTTTGACCATTTACTTGTTTGAATTATTAACACACTTTTGTATGTGTACTTTTAGTCTACTAAAGATACTGATAGTAAGCATTTTTAAAATACTTTAAAATTGTTGTGATCTTAAAAATCGAAATGATTCTTTCTTTCTACTATCCCTCAAGAAAGATCAAACCTGTATTTAATTTCCCTTGCCTTATTTTGTAATCGAAACAACACAGAGCTCCTGCTACATTCCAGCAATCCTTACCACAGTTCTTAAGTATAAATTGGCAGGTACTGCAGATAACAAAAGTGTGGCTCTGAGAAGCCCCAGTTGCACAAATGTGTGCAATATGGGTGAAAGCACTGTTATAGGACATAGATGATGGTACTTTGGTATAGTTCCAAATGTACTCTCTTACAGAAAACTGAGTTCATCTCTCCCATAATATTAAAATTTAATATCACTTTGATCAGTTTTGTTTACAAACCCTAATATCATGCCAATTAAGTATTTTTTAATGACGTTGAACTTGAGAAATGAGGAGTCATTCAGCATCACAAATTGCCATTGATCTAGGTAATGCTATTTTGCTTTTAATTTCTGCATTTATTTATTCATGTAAAACTGCTTAGGACTAATAAACATGTGCAGTTGGTGAAAAGTAATGCATGACTCCGATGGAGTATGGAATGTAAGCATGTGTCATGAAACTGCAATTCCTCCATGCTTTATTTTCTATCATTTACATGTTCCTTCCATTTAGAGTATAGTCCATTCTTTTTTTCCCCCCATAGGTCAGCCAAAATGGGAAGGATTGGATTCTACTCTCTTCCATGAAGAGTAAATGGGACAGGCTAAGATCAAAGTCTGAGGCTTTTACCATCTGTAATCAGGTATGTACTGAACAAAAATCACTGTAATTCTGTGCATGCACTTTTGAAGTATTTGGTTGATACATATTGTGAATATGGTCTTTTATTAGATATTGCATTCACAACCTTATATTAAGCCTATGGTTTTAAATGCACCTATGCTAACTGATTTGAGTTGTGTAATGTAATGATGATTAAAAAGATATTATCAGCCATGAAAAACTTTCAGCTGGTCTTAGAAAAGTGTAATATTTGAAATCAGTGCAATTCTTCATTGCTCAGTATGTACATACAAAGATAATTCATTTGTTATTCCATATTGAGTATCACCAATTTAGCACAGTCAAATGTTTGTATATTGCTTCATGGTGCAAGTTTAATACATTTTTTTTCTCAAACACCAAAGTTATTTTTCTTAAATAAAAAGTTATTTTGCATCACAATTAGATTTTGTAACAATTACAACAGTTAGAATTTGTATCAGATTTTAGTTGTATACAAGGATTTAGATACTTTCATTCTTCAACTGGAACATGATTAATTTGCATATAATCTACATAGGTAAGTGAAAACATCTTGTTAGAAAATAAAATAATGGAAGTTATTTTTTCCTACCATGACAGAATGCAGAATATAGTTATTACTAATTACAGCAAAATAGTTGTTCAGATCTGATCTGTGAGAGAAGCAAAGAAGCTTTCTTCTGAATGAGATAATAGGAAGAGGACAGGTCTGAGATTCAGAAAATCTAAAGCCAAAGTGCTCCCACCCATATTGCACACATTTGTTCAACTGGGGCTTCTCAGAGCCACACTTTTGTTACCTGCAATACCTGCCAAGAATATACTTAAGAATTGTGGTAAGGATTGCTAGACGTAGCAACAGCTCTGTGTTGTTTAGATTACAAAATTAGGCAAGGGAAATTAAATACAGGCTTGATCTTTCTTGGGGGATAGTAGAAAGAAAGAAACATTTGGTTTTTTAGATTTTATTATTAGCATAGGCAGTATCTGTTGCCACTTTTAAGCTACAAGGAGGACAATGCAGGCCTAATAAAGAAAAAAGAATACTTGATTAACTTAACCCTTGTGCTTTACTGCTGTAGTCAATTAGCAGATCATTGCTGAATTTTGTCTGTTTAGAGACAGCCTCTACATTAAAATATGAGGACTTACTGTAACATACACTTAAATTTCATGAAAATGTGGCTATTTAGAGCTCCTACAAAAGTAAAACGGGAATCTGTAAAAGTGAGGGTAATATACCTAGCTTTTATTTTTATTTATTTAATCTTTAAAATTTTATTGTAGCTGGGCGCCGGTGGCTCACGCCTGTAATCCTAGCTACTCAGGAGGCTGAGATCTGAGGATCACAGTTCAAAGCCAGCCCGGGCAGGAAAGTACATTAGACTCTTATCTCCAGTAAACCACTAGGAAAACCGGCACTGTGGCTCAAGCAGTAGAGCGCTCGCCTTGAGCTGAAGAGTGCAAGGACAGTGTCCAAGCCCAGAGTTCAAACCCCAGGACTGACCAAAAAAAAAAAAATTATTGTAAAGGTGATATACAGAGGATTTAGTTAGCCAGGTAATGAGTACATTTCTTTTTGGACTGTGTCACGTCCTCCCTCATTCTTTCCCACTTTTTCTCCTATCAGTTTCCCTCCCCAAGTTGTGTAGTTCATTTCCAACATTGGGTCTAGACCTAGCTTGTAAAGGCAAGTGTCAGTCTAAAACCAGAACTCAAGTGAGATAAGGGAGTTGGCTTTCCTTTTTAAAGTATATGATAGGATGAAACTTCAGTTAATTAATTAATAACAAGTCATTTGTCCATATCAAGTTTTCAGTTAAAAGATCAGATCTTTTTAAAAGAGGTTGTAGATGTTGTCATTTCTGTTGTCTCTTGATAGTACCTCACTAAACTACCTTGAAGAACAATTGAATCTTTGGAGAGTTGCTGTCTGTAGTCTGAGAAGTAGAGTTGATAGTATTTACTTCTCTCTCCTTTACGTAGGTTTTAACTTTTTTATTTAAATGAAAAAAGACCTTCTCATTGCATGGTACAAGGTAAACATTTCATTCTTTTTAACAGCACAAATAATGAATTGAAACTCTCACATAATTTTTTACCCATCTGATTGCATAGATATTGTTTACAGTAAGAAGTCCCAAAAGGTGTCTTATGGAAGTGGCACTGTGGCTCAGGTGGTAGGGCCCTAGACTTGAGCTGAATAGCTGAGGGAGAGCACCCAGGCCCAGAGTTCAAGCCCCATGACCAACAAAAACAAAAAAAGGTGTCTTGGACTCAAAGGCTAATTCCCCTGCCCTCCTCCCCAGCTCTTATTTGCATTGGCTTATCTACCAATGGTAGAGTACCCAGTGAATGTAATCATTTTCTATGGTATTAAAAATGGGTACCAGTGGCTTTATACCTGTAATCCTAGCTACTTGGGTGACTGAGATCTGAGGATTATGATTTAAAGCCAGCCTGGGCAGGAAAAGTCCATGACAATCTTATCTCTAATTAACCACCAGAAAACCAGAAGTGGCTGTGGCTCAAGTGGTAGATGCTAGCCTTGAACTGAATTGCTGAGGGACAGGACCCAGGCCCGGAGTTCAAGCTCCACAACTGACCAAAAAAAAAAAAGTTGAGAAAAGTTAGGCATATTCTTCCTCCAAGATAAGTAACCATGCCCTTCATCAAATATTAGCCATGCCCTTCATTGAATAGGCCATCGAAAGCTTTTACAATTTCAAGAATGTATATTTATTGGGGCTGGGAATGTGGCTCAGTGGTAGAGTGCTTGCTAGCATGCATGAAGCCCTGGGTTTGATTCCTCAGTACCACATAAACAAAAGAAGCTGGAAGTGGCGCTGTGGCTCTAGTGGTAGAGTGTTGGCCTTGAGCAAAAGAAGCTCAGGGACAATGCCCAGTCCCTGAGTTCAAGTCCCAGGACCAAAAAATAATAGTAGTAATAATAATAATGTATATTTCTTACGTAGACAAATCAATCTACTCTGGATTCAGAGATCTTTGGCAGTGTGAATACAGTGCTACAAAGACTAAATTTGTACTTCAGGTGGTACATTCAGCTCTTTCAGGCCTGTAGTGTCTTAAGTACTTTTATGGACTTAATGATTAAGTTTTCAGTGCTACAGTGTTTTTCATATAATATGCAATATGGCTAGTAGTACGCATGGATTACTATGGTCTTTAGACAAAATACTTTCTGAAACATTTTTATATTTTAGTCAGATTTATGTTCTCTTTGTGAAAAATGAAAGCTTAATAATGCCACTTTTAGAATCATATTTTGATGCTTCCTGAGAATTTCTGAAACTGCTACTGCTATACCTAAGTACAGCATTGTCAGGTGGAATTTCAGGGTATGTATAAACTGTTCATTCTGAGCAATGCATTTATATGTGTTTTGACTAATATAAAGAAACCTACAGATATTACATTGGACCAGCTGAATCCATTTTATGGTTTCTTTTTTAATTCAAAAGCATCACATAGCAAATAATTTTTTTTAAAAAATGGAGTTTAGTTACAAACTAGTTGTTTCTTATTTTTTTTTCCAGTCCCTTTTTGCTTTCTTTTACGACCACATGAAACTTGAGAAGCCACCTAAACCTATATCATTTAGTGGAGTTGGGCAGTTCCCAGTGTCCAACAAGAAGGCCTGGTTTAGGCTGCGATGGCCACTGTCATTCCTGGTGATTTGTCAGAAGTAAGAGATACCCAGAAAGTCCCTTCAGGGAAACGTAAGCGTGGTGAAACCAAACCAAGAAAAAACTTTCCTTGCCAACTGTGTGACAAGGCCTTTAACAGTGTTGAGAAATTAAAGGTTCACTCCTACTCTCACACAGGAGAGAGGCCCTACAAGTGCACACAACAGGACTGCACCAAGGCCTTTGTTTCTAAGTACAAATTACAAAGGTATTACACTCTATTTGTCTTTCAGATTATATTTTCTCTTTTGTTGGCCATTTGAAGCCATTGTAAGCGTATGTATCTGTATACACATTTCTCAGCTGATTTGCAGAGTTAATGTTAAGTAGATTAGACTTTAGTTAGTTCTTAGTATTCTAAGTCACATACTTTTATGTATTAATGTCTTTGATTTGTTTTTTTTTAAATAAAATGCTTAATGAGAGTAGAATTTCCATTTGTAGAAAGAAATTGCGACAAGAAAAGGGTATGGACATTTACGTGAGTATGTTCAGTGTTGTTCATTTGTTTCTGTAATGTTAGCTAAGAACCAGCAGAAAACTAATGTGGCAACTTAAATGGCTCAAGTTTTGCAGCATTTAGATGATATTAACTGTTCTCATGGTTCATACTAAGTTAAGCAATTTCTGTTACTAAGGGAGTTCTATATTAGCATGATAGTTTAGTTGCCCATTTGAAAACTGAATACATACCGATTTTGTGGTGATAATCACTAACAGAATATATCTGTGTTTAAAGGCACATGGCTACCCACTCTCCTGAGAAAAGCCACAAGTGTAATTATTGTGAGAAAATGTTTCACCGGAAAGATCATTTAAAGAATCACCTTCATACCCATGACCCCAACAAAGAGACATTCAAGTGTGAAGAATGTGGCAAGAACTATAATACCAAGCTTGGGTTTAAACGGCACTTGGCCTTGCATGCCGCAACCAGCGGTGACCTTACCTGCAAGGTATGTTTGCAGACTTTCGAAAGCACAGGAGTGCTTTTGGAGCACCTTAAATCTCATGCAGGCAAGTCATCCGGGGGGGTGAAAGAAAAAAAGCACCAGTGCGAGCATTGTGATCGCAGGTTCTACACCCGGAAGGATGTCCGGAGACACATGGTAGTGCACACAGGAAGAAAGGACTTCCTCTGTCAGTACTGTGCACAGAGATTTGGAAGAAAGGATCACCTGACTCGACATATGAAGAAGAGTCACAATCAAGAGCTTCTGAAAGTCAAAACCGAACCAGTAGATTTCCTGGATCCATTTACCTGTAATGTGTCTGTGCCTATAAAAGATGAGCTCCTTCCAGTCATGTCCTTACCCTCCAGTGAACTGTTATCAAAGCCATTCACAAACACTTTGCAGCTAAACCTCTATAACACTCCATTTCAGTCCATGCAGAGCTCGGGATCTGCCCACCAAATGATCACAACTTTACCTTTGGGAATGACATGCCCAATAGATATGGATACTGTTCACCCTTCCCACCACCTTTCTTTCAAATATCCATTCAGTTCTACCTCATATGCAATTTCTATTCCTGAAAAAGATCAGCCATTAAAGGGGGAAATTGAGAGTTACCTGATGGAGTTACAAGGAGGCATGCCCTCTTCATCCCAGGATTCTCAAGCATCATCATCTAAGCTAGGGTTGGACCCACAGAGTGGGTCCCTAGATGATGGTGCAGGAGACCTTTCCCTGTCGAAAAGTTCTATCTCTATCAGTGACCCCCTCAACACACCAGCGTTGGATTTTTCTCAGTTGTTTAATTTCATACCATTAAATGGTCCACCCTATAACCCCATATCAGTGGGCAGCCTTGGAATGAGCTATTCCCAGGATGAAGCACATTCTTCTGTTTCCCAGATCCCCTCACAATCACAGGATCTTCAGGATCCTGCAAACGCTATAGGTCTTGGGTCTTTGCACTCACTTTCAGCTGCCTTCACCAGTAGCCTAAGCACAAGTACCACCCTGCCACGTTTCCATCAGGCTTTTCAGTAGGATTCTGGGACGTGGACTTAGTACAAAAATGTATGTATAGTCCTGCCTTAGGTGACCATTTTACTTGTAGTGCCTCCTTTAAGACAATATGAAATTTTCTGCTATTGTATAATACCAGGTTTCATTAAGCCAGTATAAAATAGAAACTAGCTTCTTCAATGAGTTTTAGAACCATTCATGTACAGTTATGTTTACCTGGGTATTTTATCCTGATTCACTGCCAGTTGCCAGAGTCTAAAAGCTTTTTTTCCATATAGAAAAGCCATTATTATTAAAGTTTTACAAATCCCATATTCAAATTATTTTAGACCTTAAAATTTTTACTTTTTCCCAATAACAATGGCTTTACCTTTTGACATTTGGCTCATTTTTTAAAAATCTACAGTAGAATGTAAATTTCTTAAAATCAGTGTGAATAACTCAGTTTTAAATTTTTTACTAGCCACTAAATGGATTCATAATCAAATGTTTTTAAATACAGTTTGGGAGGTAACAGATGTTTCCTAGATATTTTATAACTCAGATCAATAGCTATTTTGAAGACTTGCTATTGTCTGACTAAAGTATTTGCTACAATATTATGAACATAATAAGAGAAACAAAACTTAAACACAAAGCGCCAGTATTTGTAGCAAAAAGCAGCTCTTAGTAAGGTAATATAGCATTCTATATTGATAGTTGGCCCTTAATTAGTACACAAGGGATTTTGCTGTGTTTAAGCCTTTTTAACTTTTTACTATCTTTCCTTTTGATAATACTAGTTTATAACATTGGAATCTTCAGCATCAGTATATAGACAGCTCTCTAATCTTATCCACCTTTCCCAGCCAGAGGGTGGCTCAGGCACACCAGCAATTTTATTTGCTCATTGGTCCACAGTTACTCCAGAATCTAGAGCCATTGTGGAACTGTGGGCAGTAGATACATTAATTAATTCCTCTCAGCCTCTGGGAGTGACAGATGCTTAAGCAGGAAGGTAGATGTAAAGCATTCATGAAAGCTGGGAATTTGTCTAGGGATCATGTCTGGTGTTGCCAGGGTTGAAAATGGAGCCTTTAGGAGTAAAGTAAAACCATATCACTTCCATCACTTCTTGCTGAATTTGATATATTTTTCTCTTAAGAGCCAGAAGCAGAAGACAGAAACAGCAGTCTTGCTCCTATGATGTATTCTTATTCAGTTTGAATCTAGCTTTCCCTGGTTATTTTCAAATGGAGAATTTAAAACTTAAATGCATTAGAAAACTATTTGAGGAATTACTGCAGAGTTTTACAGAACTAAAAAAATATACAGTAAAACCCCACCTTTACACAAAGTAAAATAAAGCACATATTATCTTAATATGAAAACAGCAATCAATATTGTATTCACTAAAGAAAATAGTGATAGGCTTTCCTCACATTAGATAACCACCATCATCTGTTGAGAGATCCAGTTATATTTTTTCAAGGATCATTTGGACATCAACCTAGGAAATTTACCTATTAAGCACTTGTTAACACCTTATTTTTGGACTCCATCTATTGGGGTAGGAACAAAACAGAGAGATTTATAGAAGAGTATATTCTCCTAAGAAAAAAAAAAGAAAGAAAAAGTATTTCTGAGCACTCATTAGCCCTATATGGAGCTTCTTTCCCTTTGGTAGGGCCATTTATCACTGCAGATTGCAATGTTTACCAAGCATTTGAAAAATGAGTGCAGATTACTGATCATAATACATTATTTAAAATATTTGGGAGTAGTATAATTTGTGAAGAAAATGTAAATTGTAATGTAAATGGGGGTTTCACTATATATATTATATATTATATATATATATACATACACACACACACACACACATGTTTATCGCACTTCATAGAATCAAAGTTGCTCTCTGAAGGAGCTTTGGCTCCTGATATTTTATCATGCTCCTATTTTTTTAATCTTAGGAGCAGTAGTTTTTATACTTATGTATTTAAATTTTATTATGAAAAATTACATTTTATTAAAAAGTGTGTTCCAAAGGCATTAAAATTATATATGTTAATAAGGAAATACATTAAATACATTTAAAAAATTTTCAAACTGCTCCTAAGCTTTTGATTAGGAGAATATTACATGGAAAGTAGGCTTTTGCTCTGCTTCATTACTGCTTTCTTTAGTTTCTATGAAACAGATTGCTTACCTAAATCTTCAGTTGAATGATTAGTGTTCAATATTGCTTTAATCACCATTTTAAAAAAAAAGGAAAAGAGAAATTTGGTGACAGAGCACAAGTACATAGAAAACCTATTTTTAAATAGATATCACAAATGGCAAGTGTGAAAGCACTACTTTGTTCTGCCTAAAATTTTGCTTCAGAAGTCAAATAAGTGAATTGTGACGTAGGCCTTCAATAGGCTGTATTTTACTGCTAATTAAAAAGAAAAAGGGAGTACCTGGATTTATGAAATAGAGCATTTTGGAAGTGGGGAATGGCTCCATATATGTATATTTATATATACTACTTTTTTTCCTAATTCTCACTGACATAGAATTCAAACAGTCATCTTCAGGGCAACAGAATTAAAATTGTGGAGTCTTAATTTTCTTAATTATACCTTTCTGCCTCTTGTTGCCCCACAGATTTGAAATAGCACTTCACAGTAAAAGAGAAATCAGCTAATTTTTTTTTTAGATTGACTGAAGTGGTCACTAAACCCTTTTTGATAGAATTTCTGTTAAAGATGAGGCAAGTTTGTTTAATTGCACGATATTCTAATAAGGATATAACACATAATTGGCTTTTTTTTTAGGAAATTGTCATTTGCTTTTATTTGAAGTAGACATCATTAAAAATAGTTATTGCCAAGGCTGTTTTGATTCTTTAGTGCCCAGAATCATCATTCTTGACATTTCTGGTAGTGCCTTAGCTTGGGGAAGAAACGGGGGAGGGTATTAACATTAAATAAAAGCCTATTAGTATAGAATTTGGACCTCAGACAAGATATTGAACCTCATTCAGTTTGACTTCCACATGTATGTACAAACTAGGTCACCAATCACAGAAGTGTAAGTGGAAGCATCTTGGCACTGTAAGCAATATTATCCGTTCGTTTATTCAAATACCTACCATCTTTGTATAGTAACTGGTCACTTAAACTTTCGTTTTAAAATCCTGTTATCAAGTTCATTTTTTTTAATTTTGATTTTCCTGGCTGACCATGCACCACTCTGTGTGCAACTTTTTTTTAATTTCATTTAGTGTTTCAAGCTGTGTACGTTTGCCTATTTGTTGCTTGTGCTTTATTTTTCTTAGTCATTTGTGGAATATAGTGATATATTGTGTTAATTTGGACAGTAGCGGTTTTTAAAAACCATATACTGACTGAAACATGAGCCAGAGCTGATTGCTTTATTAAGCTAATAATGAATGTTATAGAGTACATATTTTCAGGATCATTCATCTAGTGAGCAATACACTTATTATAGGCCAATATTTTTTTAAATAGAGCTTGGTCAACCTCTATACTACACATGTTACAAGATATAGCACTTTCAAAATGAATCTAAGCCTTTACAGAAACTTTCTTATAGGTATGCCTTTTATTTTAAGACTTATAATTTGTTTCAAGTGCCATTAGATGATATATATGTAGGCCTTTGATATATAATGCTTTGTGTACAAAAATGGTAGATGGTATTTTAAACAGGTACATTTTTACAGTGTTTTCTTATCAATTTGCTATATTGCACAGAATCAGTGTGTGTCTTTTCATAAGGTTTTACAATGGTTTATTTTTTTACAAGGTTTACGTGTCTCAAAGCACACTGTCTTCCCAGTCTGTAAGTTAAAGAATACCAGTTCACCCAAGTTGCTTCTAGCCTACTGAGATCCATGTGACATCGGAGGAGATCTTTTAAATGTTGAGTATTTGTCATTAGCAATGGCGGACTGTTTCCTCTGATAAATGAGTGCCTGAGTTGTGTGTGTCTTGTTTAAACTGCCAGGGCTACAACACAGATCATATGTGTTGATTACATCAGTCCACAATCATTTAAGTTTGTGATTAAAAGCCCATAGAGAGTTCCTTTTAGGTCATATAAAACAAGACAATGCTACTAACCTTGGTAATAGCACACTTAGGATGCCATTAAGCCCTTCTACAAGGTTTATTAACCCTCTGAGGGTGGAAGGCAATGTCATTTGATAAATTATCTAGCTCTAGAAACGAAACAGACAGAACTATTGCTAATGTATAAAACACTTCATTACATAAGCTTCAGTGGTACAGACAAACCAGAATGAATGTCTTATCTTCTCAGAAACACTCCTTCCATATTATATTGGATCATGCTGCTAATGTAACTTGGGATACAACTCTTCATGGTGCTACAAACTTCTCTGTCTTGTTCAGTTGTATTTTTTTTATCCATAGGAAAAGGACTACATTAGGTGTAAAGGTGTACAATATATTTTTATACTGTGACTTAATTTGTCATTAACAAGCTTTTACACCACCACAGTGTATTCATGTGCACTTGCAAAAGGAGATCTTGGATGTGCAAATGTTACCAGAACAAACCCAGCTTTTGTCCACAAGGTGACTGTAACTCAGAATGGAAAGTGGGCTTGAAAATGGGGTGTAGAGTGAAGAACATGCTGTACGTTACTAACAGCCCTTTGAATTTAAGAAAAACTGGGAATCCATTAGGAAGTGGATTACATCGTGCCTGAACATAAGCTGGACTGCTGAAATTGTATTTTTTAGTTAATGAAAAAGTGTTTGGACTAGTACTCTAAAAAATGTTCTAATGGTAAAATTTTGAATCAAAATAGAAAAGAAAAATATCTGCATTCCAGACTGAATTTTGTATATTTTTATTGCATTTAAAATTACTATTCTGTTATATTGGGAAATCAAGTGGCTTATCATGTATATCATGTACTTAAAATGTATTCACAAACTACTGTTGTATTTGTATAAAATATAGACAAAGATCCTATTTCTGTGTGTGTGTGTATACAAACTCTGTAAAATAGCAATCACATTATGAAGCTGCAGTGATACCACATTTTAAAACATTCACATCCAAAAAGCAGGCTATTTATTGCCAGATTCCCAAATTTAAAATATTAATTTGCTGCTAATTAAACAATAATAGTACTGCAGCTTCTTGTGGCCTACAGTGTTATGTTTGCTGTAAGAAAAAAAAAAAGATGTGAATTCCACAAAAGATATAAATAAAATTATAGAATGACTTTAGATAACATAGATCTTCCTGA